ACTTTAAAATGGAGGAAAAATTTACTGTAACTTTAAAATGTTTATGCTTCTACTTCACAAATTTTCCATATGCACAAAATCTGAACCTGATGTAATTCTTTGTATATGATAAGAAATAATTGTACATTCCATTAATCACGCAAATCTATTGTAACATTACATTTGGAGATCAACAATAGTAAAATAACGAAAATATTCTTTTACTACATTAAATCTTTCAAATTTGTAATAGTTCCGTATCATGACTATACTACGAATTTTTTAAAATTAATAACTATAATTATTTATTCTTTTGTTCTCATTTTCAAACTTTAATTACGCGTAAACGTTTGGTGTGGCATAATCAACGACACATTGCTGGAATCTCAATTTTACGACAGCACTGTAAATCGAAATTCCAGATTATAATAATTTCCTAACTACCGTTTAGATTCGCTTCACACACGACAATTATCCTAATACTTATACACGAGAGTATACATCATAGATCGAACGTTCTCGTAAAACTTCGCTTGTTGCAATCACTCTAATAATACACGAGGTCAAAGTTTTCCTAACGTATACACTTTCCTTTTTAATAATCTCCGTATAATCGACAAGCCCGATGATAATTATTTGAACAGATAAAAATCACGACCGTTGTCTTTTTTATCGTAACAGTTACGAGAGAGGAGAGACCAACGGTGAAATAACCGCGATGCGTGTCACGGAACAGTTGAACGAGGGAAAAAATTGTGCATTACGACAACGAAGCGTTCCCTTATGCAGTTCCATTTTTTCCCGGTCGGTAACACGAGGGATTTCACGTCGATTTATCCGTGTCTCTACTGTGATTGACGATCGTGAAGGAAGAAAAAGAAAACCGCACCGAAAATGTTATTCACTTCCGTCGTGAGTAACGACGGCTTATTCAACTCAGGATATCAGTTCATCTCCCTTTTACGGATCTAAACGTAATCCGGGTGAAATCGAGGTGTTCGCTGTGATGCATCTATTAGGTCATCGCGTAAGTCCGTGACGAAAGTGAAGTATGTTTCAATAGAAATATATTTTAATAGAAACGTATTTATTTAATAATAATATCATTTATTTTAAATCTAAAGAAATTCTGTTGGGCCGATATAACGGTCTTACCAAGAAAAATAGGAAATGTGCAATTAGAAGGCACTTTCGCTTTTTTTTTTTTATCAAAGGGTATAGCCGGATAACTCAGTAAAAAGTGCCCCTAATAAAAATTCAATTTCTTCCAACGTAGTGCACGAAAAATTTGGAGAAAAATCAGAGACACTTCGGTTAACGAGGCACACATTATAAATTTTTTTCAGATTTTTAAATTGAAAATTCAAGCTATAAAAAATAGAAACCGTGTCTGATTTTTTTTTTCAAAATTTGTCATGCACCAAAGTGGGAGAAATTGAGCAAAAATGTGATTTATCATTATTGCACTTTACCAATCCCCTCCCCAGTCGAGATACTTGAAAATTGGCAGAAATCCTTCTTTTTCGCTCCCTTAGCCGACTATGCACCCTTCAAAGGTTCCTTAAAAATATAAATCTGAATCACAAAATTCGACACGAATTGTTAAGATGCCCGAACGTTAAATCAATTTATTTCCGTGACGCAATGAAATTGTGTCTCATTGCGAAACACATGTTAAACAGTTAACTCGATGTGCGAAATAAACCTACACTTTCTTCCATATTTGAAATATTTGGGTAGCACAGTTGCATTCGTCACATTCGAGTGATCTTTCGAAATTTTTAATAGGCCTCTAGCTTTCATAAAAATGTTACGTTATTGTAATTTCTCGTATAGAAACTCGCTTCCATTGGAATTGCCGATGAAGTAATTCAATCGAAACGGTACAGATTACCGTAGGCGGTGAGAGTGAATTTAATAGAAGGACCTCTCCTTTTCGGGTGGAACAACAATCGTTACGTCACGTGTGAAATTGCATCTTGGCTTGTTCCAGAGCAGAACGTCCAAGCACGCTCGATCTCCTTCCCGAATCACGTAACTCGCTATCTCGTTACTCGTCACGCACTTCCATGTGTTCCTCGACACGCGTCTTTTCCTCTCAGCTCGTTCATTTTTCGCGAATACTTCTATCCGCGATAGATTATTAGTCTCGAAAGTAGAAGAAAAGAAAAAAGAGTCGTATTTTAGATAACGATTTAAATGGAAGATACTTTCGCGGAATTCTTGCGATTTGCAATTAAATCAATTAGAATTTTCTGTCGCAAAAATTATCGCACGTTGTAATTTTCCGATTTTTCGTCGCGTTGCGCAGTGTCTCTTCCGGAAGACTTCGAAATTTTAGATAACGATTTAAATGGAAGATACTTTGGCGGAATTCTTGCGATTTGCAATTAAATCAATTAGAATTTTCTGTCGCAAAAATTATCGCACGTTGTAATTTTCCGATTTTTTGTCGCGTTGCGCAATGTCCCTTCAGGAAGACTTGCAAAGTGATGAAAGTACGATTACACGAGCTTACCCGGCAATCATCCGTCTTTTCGCGATAACCTAATTTTTCCCGCGTAACGAGGTGGTAAATATGGTCGCGTAGGAACGCGGAACTCGTTAAAAAATTTTTCTCCCAGCTGAATCAAGCACGCGTAAGCGCCGTTTCGTCTATTTATCTCAGAAACGGTTTTCTACGGTAGATGAAAGGATATCACGTGATAAGGAATAATGCACGCGATGTATTTTTTTAAATAGTAAACATTTCGGCTACTCGATTGTCCGTGTCACGATTTCGTGTGATTCTATCGATGTTCTGTGGGGGAAAATGTTTGTGAAATATGGTTTGAATATCGTTAGAAAGGTAAGTACGCAGGTGAAACGAGAGAAAAATTGAAACTGTATTTCCGGTTTAGATAACAGGATATATACACGATAGTACAGTGACGAGAGAGAAAAAAAAAACAGGCACGTTTGATCAGTTGGAACGGAACGGCGTCGAATCAGGTCGAATCGAAAGTGTGTCTGCTCGGTGACGTATCCTGCATCCTTGGATTAACTCGCGTCCGTAATCACTAATTAGCCGTAATTATCAGTTGCTTGGGTAAATAGCGCAATTACGATACGATCTTCTGATAACGAAATTGATATCGCGGTTAGTAATACAAATTTCGCGATGTAAGAGGAATCAGAAGGTACTGTGCGGAGGTGAGAAGATGTCTAGCGGGATGGTATAGTTGGTCGAAGCGATATATCGAGGTCGTAAATTAAAGTGTTAAGTGGAGACACTTATGACCGTTCCTTATTTGTGCGTTGGTATTTCAATTTTAATTTCTTTTTTAAATTTAAAATTTTTTAAAGTTTCTTAATTT